TTGGGCCACTTCGAGGACATTCTCATCAAGAAATGACCGTGCAAGCTCCTGGTATGCTGGATCACGATCTTTGATGGACTCTTCTAGCTTATTGATCTTTTGCTGCTTGTCCCACCAGATCGTTATCTCCTCCAATAAAGCAATGCGATCGGTACGATCCAAGTAGCGGCACATCTGATACTCAAAATCCCTCTTGTTGGTTGCCCGATATGCTTGCTTTGCCATAGTCTGGTGACAATTCTCTGTCCATTCGGTAGAGTATTGAGGGGAGCTACCCATTGCTGGGATATGGGTCACATACTGGAATAGGGCTGCCATTTTAGGGATGCAATAATGCTTAATAGTACCATTTTTGCCTCGTCGAGCGCCTTTGGTAATGAACACATCCTTCGTCCTATGGAAGACTTGTAGGGCCTGTTTTAGGTATCGTAAAGTCTCAGGACCATGGGTCTGATACTGTGCCAGATAAACAAAATCGTGAAAAGCACGGAGACAGGTCATAGTCTTTGTGTCAATGTTGGGAGCTCCCGCGATTACAGCCAAGAGGATTCGCTGAAGCTCACGATCCTCCTTGCCGGTCCATTGAGAAAGGTGACTGATACCGCGTTTAAAGTGCTTCATCCCTATGACTGGCTCGACCGCCTTGACACGTGCGTCAAGCTCTTTTATGCCTACAAGATTGATGACCCACTTCAGGACATGATCGCGCCAGAAAGGATGTAGCCCATGTAGGATATCGGGACAGATACACAACTCAGGGCGGTAACCAGGTAGATCGATCCAGAAGGGTCGATCCACTCCATTCAGACCCCTCAGTTTAGCAGCTTTCTGGTATGCTTCTAGATCTGATGGGTCGACACTGGCCTTGACTTCGGCAATGACATTCAATATCCAGTCCTGCGTGCGTGGTGGGCATGGCTTGTCATTACCCAAGTCCTTATAAGATGCAGTTGAAGTTGGAGAATTCCTGTGTGCGGCAACATTGACTAAGATTTGCTCAGGATAATCCGCCAAATAAGCAGCAATTCTTGGAAAGCAATCACGCTCATGTCCACACGAGTCAACCATCTTGACTCCCCCTGTTCCAGCGGCAATTAAGGGAGATAGGACTAACTCGACACATTGGTGGAACAGTCGATCTTGGAGCGTCGTTTGTAGGGCTTTGGGGTTTTCAAAGTGGGTGATGGGTAGATATGCCACTAAAACCCACGCGCGATTACTAGGTTTATTGCGAACGGAGGACTTGATGTTTCCGAGGCTAAGGTAAAGAGGCCATCAAAGATCGTGATCCAGCATACCAGGAGCTTGCACGGTCATTTCTTGATGAGAATGTCCTCGAAGTGGCCCAA